GTAGTTTCTTTGGCAACAGTTGATGCCAAATCAATGAAATGGTTTGTAAGGAGGGAGGGAGAGGTTGCAGTTGGGGAGAGGGCTAGGATCCGCCGGGTTTCCACTCCTTGTTTACTGCTTGGCAGCCTCGCTTTTGACTGGGGTTAACTCTCTGTGCTCCATTGGACCAGATGCCATATAGAGCTGCTCCCTGAAGATCATTTGTTTCCTTGATGGGGAACATTTCTGAGCAGAGCATATTGGTTGCCATAGAGAAAGAAATAAAAGGAAGAACACTAGTCACATTAAGCTATATGTTTGTGCACTGGGCTTTAGATAAAAGGACCTTGGTTCAGCCGCGGAGAAGCCAGGCTAGAGATCTCTAGCGCCACGAAGACTAGCTTTACTTTGTTTTGGACTTTTACAGTTGAAACATATAAGCTAATTTTATTGGTGGTTGTTAATTTTATATGACACGGTTTACTGAACAAAATAAACTTTGGAAGTGCTCAGGAGTCGCACTAGGGACTTGTCAGCAGGGGGCGCACTGACTCGCTGTAGCTGGTACTGAGTAAAATGTAGCCGTTTCCAAAGCAAATCTGCTCATTCAAACTTGCCAAAGGAGCAAACCTTTCTGTGCAAATTCACCACGACGAGTGAATTCACTGCATAACACAGGGTTTTAAATACGAGTACAATGACTTCCCCATCTCCCACCCATCCATGTCTGTGAACTGGCCTGAAAGAAACAGTTAAAAAAAAAAAAGGATTCGTCCATTTCTCAGTGAAGTGTACATAGGGCTGGAAAAAAGATTGGGTGTGAAAGCAAAAGCCCCTTAAAATTATTAAAGGTATGTAATAAGCTACTTTAGGAGCAACCATTCAGGTTGCAGACTTGGGGAAGCAGTCAGGAAAATAAAATGCATCCTAAGGTATGAACTATTAAATAATGAATGCTCTTCAACTTGATACATGCTTTGACTTCTAAGTAAAACTCAAGATCCTGGAGATTTAGTCAAGGCGTCGATGATCTCTTTTACTTGATTTTATATTTAATGGCTGCTTTAATCTTGGTACCTCCTATGGCTATGGGAAGATTTTGGATTTGTCTTTGAAGGGCTTGTTGGGGAAAAGAAACGACAAAATAGTCGTTGGTTAGAGGTAACTGGGAGCTTGAAACTTCTTAGCAAAATATTACTTAACACAGTTGAAGAAAATTTTTATACAGTACCAGGTTTCTGCCCCAGAGAGCTTTAGCCATCGCCGATGAAGATGGAACTGTATTTTGGATAGGATAAAAAAGATTCCTGAAAAACTTCTAAAACCGTGAAGAGCAAATTCTGACCGGTTTTGAGCAATTAGTCAGTTTGTTGCTGACAATTTTCCCAAGGAGATTTAGAGAGCACCACTAAGAAAGGGAAGCCGTGAGTGACTGGAAGTGAGAAGCTAGCGTCCACAGTTCAGCAGTTCAAGGCACCTGTGACTGCCACAGCCTGTTAGGAGGGGGCCCAGGAACGAGGTTCCCCTGGAAGAGGGGGAAGATGCCCTTTTCTAACTCAGCTCCAAGATCAACCAGCTGCCGCCATGAGCTTTTCTTTGAAACTAAGTTTGAAAAGTCCAGATTTGGCTTTACGTGGTGTTCAATCTAGGAGGATTGAAAGATTTTTGGGAGTAATATAAGCAAAGGAGACACTTTAAAAAGCATTTTAATTCTGTTGTTTTCATCTGTGAGCTCTCACATTTAGACTTAGAAAATGCACTGTCAGGTTTGTACTAATAAAACAAAGTGGAAAATCGAGGAAACTGTAATTTGAGCCCAAACATTGCTTTTTCTTAAGTTCTCTGGACAAAAGACTTCTGGGGGACATCCACATGAACTGGACAAACGCCTCAAAGCTCTACCGTACTTTGCATGCCTGGGCCGCTAAATGCATTTATCAATTATTATGGAGAAAGGGAACTTTTCTATTTAGCCAGACATTTTGCAAAACACTAGTTAAGCAGTCATTGTATATACATATTTAAACATACTTATTTTTGTATCACTTTTCACGAAATCTGTGACTGTTACTATTTTGGCAGCTACTTACTTTTCTGTTTTGCAAAAGTACTTACCCCCCCCTCCCCCCGCAAAAAAAAAGTTTGCTCCTCCTATCTATAGTCTTAGGTTACCTAAAGTGAAAGAAATAGGAAATAGTGATTCTGAGTAAAGCAACAAGTTAACTTGAGAACTGATATATTATATATTAGAAACCGCTAGCATTCTGTAATGACTTGGAGGTGGAAACCATCGAGCTGGGTATATGAATTAAGATTCAAAGTGCCGGGCAAAGCTACAGACTTTTAATTGTTGGGGCTGGGGACCTGCTTTTGCCAAATGGGAGAATGAAGAACATTACCTGGGTCAAATGCACAAAACACAAAGTGGGTACTTACTCATGTGCCTCCATTTGAGAATGACAAGGTGCTGGGTGCGTGGAGGGGCAGAAGCACGCTTGCCATGATCATTTACAAATTAAAATGTGAAGCATCCTCACAGCCCACAGCATGTGCTGTCTACAAAGGGAAGGGCTCCTCCGCGGTAGCTTTTGGGTGGAAGGGGTGTGTGTCTTCTCACAGTGGAGGGGCTGAGAGTTTTGAAGCATGCAGTGGTCCCCCCAGTTCTCTGTATCTCGTTGGTCACTGATTTATCTGATCTGTAGGGAAGGAGCAAGCGCTTAGTTATTTAGATGGGTTCGAAGGAGCAGTTGTAAATTCAGACACTGTAGTTTCTCACCCTAAAGTAAGAAGTTTTACTTCTGATGCTTCTAGGACAGCTTTAGCTGGATTGAGAAGGCGTGATAAGTTGGCTGTGGAGTGCCTGCTTCTGAAACAACCCATTTCCAACAGTTTGCCCCTCTAGCTGCATGTGTGCACCCCCAGGCCTGTGAATGAAAGCTCCCAGCCGCTGGGGAAGCCAGATCTGGCACCGCGTGACAGACTATTCTTGCCTGCCCCCCTCACCTCCTCACCTCACTCCCCATCATAATGGTCTTCTTCGAATTTACATTCATAGGGCCCATCTGACTGACCAGAGTGATAATGATTTATTAACAAAAACATGTGGGCATGTCCTCGCCAGAAAAATACTCCAAGGTCGGTTTGGTGTGTGTGAGTGTGTCTGTCTGTGTTTTAAAAAACACAACCCAGAAATATCAACGCAGCTTTGCCAGAGAGGTGGTTGGATCTCTTGAGGACACCAACCATTCCCTGTGGGCTAGATGGCGGCTCCTTCCCAGGTGGGAACAGGGTGGTCTCGGTGCTGTAGAAGAGGCCTTGCGGCACATTATGAAAAGACAACCTTTTACATTGGCACCTGTGTTTTTATTATACTTTTAAAGATTTAAACTTAGCTATTGTCTGTGACGCTGGGCACAGGTTGCGGCTTACCAGGCTGAAGGCTGCTCTTTTGAGCACCCCCCCACCCCCGCAAATGGTGCTTGTGTGGGTTGCTGAGGCCCCCCATTCACTGTCCTGCTCCCGTCCTAGGCCCACCCTGGACTGGTCAGCTTGAGGGGGGTCTTCAAGAGAGTGTGGCTATTTTGTTCACTTTAAAAATACAGTATCAATATACATGGATACTTGATACTCCAAATACTGCATGGTTTGCAGCAATACAATTTCAGCTCTAAAATATCTGGTGAAGAGACCTTGGTGTAGAACTCAATGACCTTGCTCTTGCCCCTGGACTTGGCAGTCCCAAGTTGAAAGCTATGTGTCCCTGTTTGCCTTGAGCACTCACCCCTCCTCCCATATTTTCTGGTTTTTCGATAAAGCCCACAGGGAGGCTTCCAGGCTTGAGTGGTGGCGCCTGACAGAGGGCAGCTCTCATTCAGTTTTATATCCGGGTGCATAAAGCCCCCAGAAGTCAAGGCCTGTATTGTTGGAAGGGCGTTGGTTGTGTTCTCTTTATTTTTAATTCGCATCGCAAAAACAAACAAAATTTCACTCAGAAAAACTGGCTATTAAAGTGTCCTAACTTCGGAAACACGAAGACTGCCCTGCAAGGCTCTGGCAAGTGATTCCTCAAGTCGGATTGGAACTTCCCCTAGAAAGGCTGGCCTTGGGGGG